CTGTATGTTATATATGAAAGTTATTGAGAGTAAACCCTAAGAGATTCCATCACAAGTAAAAAAATTTTTTTTCTTTCTCTTTTATTTTATACCTATATATATGAGATGATGGGTGTTCGCTAAAAGTTATTGTGGTAAACATTTCATGGTGTATGTAAGTCAAATCATTATGCTGTACACCTGAAACTTAGTGCTGGCTGTCAATTACACCTCCATTAAACTGGAAGAAAAAAAAAAAACAGGAATGAAGCTCCATTACACAAGAATGTAAATGTACTTAACACCACTGAATGGTACACTTAAAAATGGTTAAGATGATAAATTTTACATATTTTTTACTACAATTAAAATTTTTAAAAAATGAAGCAGCGATACACACTACAATGTGGATGAAGCTTGAGGACGCCATGCTCAGTGATATAAGCCAGACATAAAAGGACAAACACTCTGATTCCACTCCCTAGAGGACTCAAATCCAGAGACAGGAAGTAGATGGTGGGGGCCAGGGGCTGCGGGAGGGGTGGGGAGTCAGTGTTTCATGGGGACAGAGTTTCAGTTTGGGAAGATGAGAAAGTTCTGGAAGTGGAGGGGGCGGATGGCTGCGCAAAAATGTGAACTTACTTAATGCCACTGAGCTGTGCATTTAAAAATGGTAAACGTTATTTTATGTGTATTCTACCAGCAGTTGATCCAGCTGTGAGACCTGCCTGGGGGAAGCCATGTAGGCCGGGGAGACCCCACCCTGCTCGCCGATTCCTGCTCCAGGGCTCAGCTCAGCCACTACCCCATCCCTGGCTCTTGCACCGCCCTGTGCATCCCTGATGGTCCCAGGTCCATCGCCCCCACTGGACTGGGAGCTCCCTGAGGGGCTGGTGAGATTTGGCTTGGTCACCACTGAGTCCTCAGCTCCCAACCAGGAACGACGCTCGGGGGATGCACCTCATTTCCAGTCATGGCCCCTCCCTCACCTCTCCCACTCCTCCTCGGCCTCCTCGGCCGTGAGCGTGCGGTGCTTGGCCAGCGGCGTGAAGTTGTACCAGTTGTGCACGGGGAAGGCCTCAAAAGCCCCATCAGGGCACTGGGTAAAGATGTAGTAGGATGTGTTCTCTGTCACACCTCCCTTCTTTATGCCCTTGAACCTGCGTGGAGTTCAAAGTTACGGTCGGCCAGAGGAAGAGGCACCAGCCCCACCCTCATACACGCCCCTGCAATCCCAGGCCTGCCCCCTCTCCAGAGCCACCTGGGTCCTCCCAGCAGAATCTGAGGCTAGAAGGCCTTGGGCTGGCCCTTCGACTGTCTGAGCCTGGATTTCCACATCTGGCAAGCACGGCTCCCCACCTTGCAGAGAGGGCTTAGGGTTCCTTTGCATTATACATGTCACGGTCCTTTCTGGAAGGACCCTGTTAGATTGGCCATGAAGAGCACCGGGCCCTACAGTCAGAGCCCTCCGGATTTGCCTCCAGAATCTTCCTGGGGGCTGAACCACTGCCAGCCCCCTCCTGGTCTCTGGCATCACCCGCAAGTGGAGGCAGTCTTACAGCATGCCCCTTCCCTGCCTACAGCCTTCAGGCTCCCCTGGGCCCCAGCCCACCCACAGTCCAGCTGCAGCCTGGAGCCCACCGCCCTATCCATCTGCCCACCCTGTCACTGTCATGCGCTGTGACAGTCCCTAGGGCTCGGCGCTTCGTGCCTTCGTGCTCGCTGTTCTGCCGGAGTGCCCTTCATCCCCCTAACCTCTGTCCTCCCCACCCCCCCGAACCCCAGGTGGCCCCTCGCTGGGTGCCGCAGTACCGGAGCCCGGGCTTCGGGCATCCCGGCCCTCAGAGCTCCCGCCCGGGCATCCCCTCGGCTCATCTACCCAAGTAAAACCCTTCGCGGGAGGATGAGCTGTCACTCCTGGGCTGTCACCCCCGCTGTACAGCAGGCACACGAAAGTTCAGCCGAGGGCACCGGCGGAGCGGGGTCGAGCGCGGCACTTACTTCCGGCCTGATTTGCCGTTGACGCGGAGCAGCCAGGGCTGGTCCTCGGGCCGGAACTCCTTGAGGACTATACCGTACTTCTTCCTCCGCGCCTCCTCCCGGAGCCGCCGGTTGAACTCGCTGCCGGCACCCGACTCGGGCATCTCCTCCTCCTGGTAAATCTTCTTGTTGCTCAGGTCGCGTTCCAGCCGGGCCTGGGAGGACAGGAAGCAACACCTCTCATCCAGGGGCCTGATCCCACCGCCAACACCCTTTCCTCCCCAGAAGCTGCGCGGCGGGCAATCAAAGCCACTTGCGTGGCGAAAAGGCGCTCGGTGAATGTGGGTGAAGGGATCTGGGCAAGGCCTGTACTATGTCAATTTTTGCAGCTTTTTGAAAGTTTGAAATTATTTCCCATTGAAAAGTTAGAAAGAAGGGAAGGAAGGAAGAAAGAAAAAGATTGGCACTGACATATATACACTAATATGTATAAAACAGATAACTAATAAGAACCTGCTGTATAAAAAATAAATAAGTAAATAAAATTCAAAATAAAAAGAAAGAGAAAAGAAAAAGAAAGAAACCCCAGAATCCAACCACTTCTCATAACCTGTTTGCTCCAAACCCCATCATGGCTCACCTGGACCAGAGCCTTCACCTCCACCCTGTCCTCTCTTCACCTGCCCTCGATCCCACAGTGGCAAAATCACTTTAAAATTCTCTGTTTCTAAGCCTTTAATGGCTTCTGCTATGGATGGATGTTTGTGTCCCCCCAAAATGCCTTTGCTTTCTTTTGCTGCGCAGCTTGTGGGATCTTAGTTCCCCGACCAGGGATTGAACCCCGGCCCTCGGCAGTGAAAGCATGGAGTCCTAACCACTGGACCACCAGGGAATTCCCCCAAAATGCATTTGTTGGAGCCTAATCTCCAGTGTGATAGTATCTGGGGTGGGGCGTTTGGCAGATGATTAGGTTATGAGGGTGGAGCCTTATGAGTGGGATGTGCGCCCTTATAAAGGATTCCAGAGAGCTCCGTCCCCCTCCTGCCAGGTGAGGACACAGTGAAAATGTACCAGCTATGAAACAGGAAGCACACCCTCACCAGACACCAAATCTTGCTGGCACCTTGATCTTGGACTTCCAACCTCCAGAACTGTGATAAATAAGTGTCTGTTGTTTATAAACCACCCAGTCTCTGGTATGCTGCTATAGCAGCCTCTACAAACTAAGACAGTTTCCAAAGAAACTGGGGTCCGGGAAGATCCCACGTGCAGCGGAGCAGCTAGGCCCGTGAGCCGTGGCCGCTGGGCCTGCGCGTCGGGAGCCTGTGCTCAGTGACGGGAGAGGCCACGTCAGTGAGCAGTGGACACAACTTCTCCTTTCAGGAGAAACCTCCTGCAGGGCCAGACATATCTCACCCCCAGGGATGCCCAGCAGCTCAGCCTGGGCCTTAAGTCATCACTTATCTCCACCCGGGGACAGCTGAGGATACTAAGCCTTAGTTACTATCACAACTAAACAACTATTAGAACCACCAAGGCCAGGATCAGGTTCTCTCACGCCCTCAGAAACGGGACTTACCTGATTCCAAGTAGCGAGGTTGACTTTATCGGCTGCATTGAAAGCCATGATATTATATTTTTTGGTGGTATTTCTGGAATGGACAAGAAGAGGCAGTGCTCAATCATTCATTCATTCAGTAAACCCTCCCTGGCTCAGCCCTTTGTGCCTGCGCTCATGCTGGGGACCCATAAAAGAACCCGGGGGGGGCTTCCCTGGTGGCGCAGTGGTTGAGCGTCCGCCTGCCGATGCAGGGGACACGGGTTCGTGCCCCGGTCCGGGAGGATCCCACATGCCACGGAGCGACTGTGCCCGTGAGCCATGGCCGCTGAGCCTGCGCGTCCGGAGCCTGTGCTCCGCAACGGGAGAGGCCACAACAGTGAGAGGCCCGCGTACAGCAAAAAAAAAAAAAAGAACCCAGGGGAACTCATAAAAGAACCCAGAGGTTCCCAGTCTGTCAGGGAAGTGGGATCCATACTCCCACTTCCATTCAGAAAAAAGGGACAAAGATTTCTAGGAACCCAAGATGTGGGGATAATTGGGAGCTCAGCCCTGGGCCTGGGGGTGGGCAGGCAGGGAATGCCTCCTGAAGGAGGAAAATCCCGGAAGTGAATTTTGCAGGATCAACAAGAATCCACCCAGCAGAG